TCAGTCAGCAGCCTAAGATGGTCACAGTAAGCCTTACCTCCTGGTTTCCATGTTTTGGTTTAATCCCCATCCGGCCCCCTTGAGTGTGGGGCTGGATCTAGTGATTCACTACTAGAGAATATGGCAAAATGATTTTTGAAATCAGGTTATTTATGAAGAGATTGTGGCATAGTCTTGAATGCCTGCTTGCACTCTCTCTCTAGCAGCTATGTTGTGAGACCCTTTCCAGAGAGATCCATGTGGCAAGGAAACAAGGCAGGTTTCTGGTCAACAAATAGCCAGAGAGGAACTGAGGCCCTGAGCCTAACAGCCTGTAAAGAACTGAATTCTGTGAACAACTGTGTGAGAGAGCTCGGAAACAGGTTTCCCCCAGTCAAATCTTCATATGAAACTGCAGCCTTGGCCGATATGGTTGGAAGCCTTGAGAGAGAGCTTGAGGCAGAAGCACCCAGCTTAGCTATATCTGAATTCCTCATCCACAAAAATGGGAAACAATAAATATTGTTTTAAACTGCTTCATTTTAAGGAAATTTCTTACGCAGTAATAATTAATACAGAGCCATACTTCATATTTCTTTTAAAGTACATAGCAGAGAGCCATGTACCTAGCAGGTACTCAAAGAATGTGTTAGCCAGGATTGCTCTAGCAATACTAAACCATAAACCAAGTGGTCTAAAGTGAAATTTTCCCACTGGTGAGAGTATGTGGCTATTGGTAATACAAATTCTCTGCGGAGCCCCCGAAGAGCTTGTCAATTGGGTAATTTGAACAGTAGTAAAATCTAATTCTAAAATTAAATTTAATTAGGGTTAGTTTGGAAGCAATTTAACATATCAGTTAAAGGTATGAGCTGTAGAATTAGGCAGACATGACTCTGAGTCTAGTTATTAACTTTTATATCATAAGTATACATATATAAAATAGTTATTCTCAAATATACTATCTGACTATAACCACAGAACTGATAATCCATGCTAACATTAAACAAAGAGATATGTACAAAGGAGAATATTTGGATAAAGTATCCATGTTAAAGAAAAATGTCCTAATACATAAAAAGTTTCTGATGTTTAGAATATGAAGTTACTGTATACAAAGATGTCACATAGAGATTAAAAAATTGTATAAATTAGTTTGATAGACAAACTTTATTTTAGGTAAAATTTTGAATATATTAGACCAAAGAGATGTTATTGTATTACCTGTCTTATTGTGTCACCCTCCTGATTACTAACTGTAATCATTTTATCTTCACCACCTAAAGCAAGCAGATTTTCTGCATTCCAACATCCACATGTGATTCTCTTAGTATGCTTTCCTGAAAAAGAGATGATTTTTGTACAGACACATGGATTTCTCAAAAAAATAATGTTAAAAATCTGTGCTGTCAATCTGAAAGTTTAGGTAATATACCATGGAAACTAAACAGAAAAGGAATTTAAAATCTCATCAGTTAGTGTCTAAGCAACCTTATTTAAAAACAGTTTACCAAGTTGTAAATCAAGATAATGGTATAAAAGGTCAACACTGTGTTCCAACTTTGTATGCCAATATAAGCATAGACCTGACATAAAAAGATATTCCACTCCTCAACAAGCTCATTTACCATATCACCAAACCTCTAATGATACCTTAAGTCAATCCCAAAGAACTGAAATTATCGTTTCAATGTTCAGTTTCATTGTGTGGTGGACTCTATAGTCACAGTTTTAACTATTCATGTGTAACTAAAGGACACATAATGATTTGTGATAATACTGAGGTGCAAATATGAATGCACCTTAATGAGACTTGCGTTAAACTTGAGTCACTTAGCTAAGGAGTGCTGTTAGATAACCACTAATATCAGGACTTTTTTTATTGAACAATCTAGCCAGAGCAAAAAAATCACATTGCGGAGGTAGGTGGGGAACCACATACTTGACACTGTGGGCATCTGTTGAAGGTCCTGGGATAGATAAATACTCAGGAGTTCCATACACAGATTCTGGAGGCAGACTGCTTATATCTGAATAAGTGGCTCCATCATGTATAGCAAAAACCTTAAGTTACTTAACTTTGCTATTCCTTAGTCACATCATCCATAAACTGGGATAATGTTGGGAACTATCTCATAGAGCTGAGGATCAAATGAGTTAAAGCACTTAGAAAGAGTGCCAGGCATGTAGGAAGTGCTACAGAAGTGTTTGCTTCTTGAGCTGTTACTGAGAGCAGAGACCACATTCATTTTATTCTTTACACTCCTCACCGAATCTAATACAGTACCTATGCAGAAAGCAGGTTCTAAATAGTCATTAAGTGAGTAGACCCTGAGACAGCAATGTGCCTGGTGTGTCAGAGGCTCAGCAAGTAGGACAGCATGGCTGGAGCAGAGGAAGGGAGGAGAGATGAGTCAGATGAAGTCAGAGCGTTTGCAGAAACCAGGACATGCAGGGCTTGGTTGGCCATTATGAGGACCTGGGTTATAGCAGGGAAGAGCAGAAGCAGGGAGGCCAGCTAAGAGATTGCAGAAATGAAGATGAGAGATGTCTGAGGACCACACCATGGCTGTAGCAGTAGAGGTGGTGACAACAGGTTTGATTCCAAAGATATCTGAAAGTAGATCATACAAGACTTTCTGGCAGATTAGATATGCAGGGTATGAGAAAGAGAAAAGTCAAAACAATGCTAAGGTTTGGCCTGAAAATCTAAAAAGATGGAATGTCATTAATGATGAGAGGAAAAGCTGTGGGTCTAGAGATTTTTGGAGATAATAAATTTGAAGTGTTTACTAGACGTCTCAACAAATATGCTGAGTAAACAGCTGGATTTATGAGTCAAATCTGGCAGAGATAAATATGGGAGTTGTCAGGATATATAAGCAGTATTTCAAATCATAAGACCAGAGCAGAGAAGTGAAGGGGACATTCAGAGAAGAGACTGGGATACAGACTTTGCTGATTATAAACAAAGGGACTCGAAGGGCACATTGGAACTGGATATCCGAAGAGATGAGCATTAGGAACAGAAAACGGAGTCCATGAAGAGAAGGCGGGAAGATGCCCAAAACAAACTTCTTTCTATGCCCAAGAAAGTGAGAAGACAATCTTCTTCCTCCTTCTTCCTACATATACCTTAAGGCCCTTTTGCTTCCAGTGCTCAGAATTCAGATTAGCCTTAACATCAATAATAATAAACACATTTTGTGTGCCTATTTACAGTGTTCTGGGTACTTTACATGTACTGACTTTATATGTCATTTAATTTAACATTAACATTAACTCATAGTTGATATGCTATGGTAACTGAAATATGAACCATGTTATTGGGAGACTGGTAACATTTAATTAAACTGCAGTAAAAGAAATTCACGTGTATCAGAACCATGCAAAGTGAGAGCTGCCGGTATCTAGTCTAGCTTAAGGAAATAAATCAATGAAAGACAAAACATGGTAATACATATTTAGTTACTGTGAAACACTGAGAGAGCATGCTACCATGTAGTAGCTTCTGAAATGGAATGGCTTGGTTTTCGGGAAATAAGTTATTTAAAAGGAAAAAAGCAGAGCCACAAATCACAAGCAACTATGAACAAGGCATCTATATATTTAGTTAAAAGACCTAAGGTATATAATTAACCTGAATCTTTTCAGGTCCAGTTTACACAATTACTAAATAAGACTGAGAGCACAATCAATATTCATACTAAATACAATAATCATATATAAAAATCTTGTACATATGACAAATACCTGACACAAAATCATCATCCTTTGACAAACTACTGTCTTATCTCTCAAGTGACAAAATTTCTGGTGCCTATCAGTTAACTAGTAAGACATACCTGCAGATGAAGTAATATATAGAAAATGCCTAACTGAAGTCAAATAGACAAATATATTTATATGGTGAAAGTTGCTTTTTGTAACTCAAAATTTTTAGTTTAATTTTCAAATTGTCAATGACATTACTGTTTAGTTGCAGCACTCAAAATATTAAGGAGATATACACAAGGTCTGACAATTAAGTTCGAGAACTCATCCTAGAACAAGTACTACATACCTCATTGCTGGATATCACTACTCCCCTTGAGAAGCTATGCACCAACACCAGTGCCTAGTCCACCCTTCAAAGCAATTTTGGAACTCTCTGGAATGGCCATCAGAGCTGTCATCATATTACCCTTGATGTCCTGAATGTCATCACAATGTATTCTTTTCAATATTCCCTTAATCTTTGGGTAAAGAAAGAAGTCACTGGGTGCCAGATAAGGTGAGTAGGGAGGGTGTTCCAATACAGTTATTTGTTTACTGGCTAAAAACTCCCTCATAGACAGTGCCGTGTAAGCTGGTGCATTGTCGTGATGCAAGAGCCATGAATTGTTGGTGAAAAGTTCAGGTCATCTAATTTTTTCACACAGCCTTTTCAGCACTTCTAAATAGTAAACTTGGTTAACTATTTGTCCAGTTGGTACAAATTCATAATGAATAATCCCTCTGACATCAAAAAGGTTAGCAACATCGTTTTGACTCTTGATTTGGACTGATGGAACTTTTTGGTCATGGAGAATTGGCTGACTTCCATTGTGCACTTTGATGTTTTTGTTTCAGGGTCCTATTGATACACCCATGTTTCATCATCAGTGATAACATGGCCCAAAACATCGTCTTGCCTCTCCAAAAGGTCTTGGCAAATTTCAACTCTCCTTTGCTTTTGTTCATCGGTGAGCTCCTTTGGGACCATTTTTGCACACACCTTTCTCATGCCAAGATTTTCAGTTAAAATTTTCCTGTTTCTCTATCGATGTTTACTTGGTCTGCTGTGCTTCTCACAGTCAGCAGACAATTTTGACGTACAATTCGACAAACTTTTGCAATGTTTTCATCAGTTCTGCTCGTTACTGGCCACCCTGACCTCTCTTCATCAGTGATGTGTTCTCCTCCCTCAGAAAAATGTTTAATCCATTTTTATACTGCTATTTTCTTCATGGCATTAGCCCCTAAACTTGGACTAACATGTCCCTGATTTCACTTCCACTCTTGCCAAGTTTAACAAGAAATTTATCGTTTGTTTGTTGCTCTAATTCAAGTGCAGACATTCTCATGACAGCACACAAAAACACACAACAATGAATTCCACTCAGCAAGACACTGCCACACATCGATCGACATGAACACAGCTGTGAGACACTGATGCACCAAGGTTGTGAAACCTTACCCAGCTGTTTGTGCAGTGCTGCCAATGTAAGCGCACGGTGGCAAGTTTGCAAACTTAAGTGTCAGGCTGTGTGTGTGTGTGGTATATAGTGTATATACATATATATTGGGTTGCTGGAAAAGTTATGNGATTTGATGAAATTATTCAGGTTACAAAGAATGACAAAAAGAAACTATGAAGAGAAATTAAGAGATATGAGAAGGTCCAAAATATGTCTAACAGATGCTCCAAACGGACGGAAGAGAAAGGGAAAAAGGTAATATTCAAAGGGATAATAACTAAGAATTTTAGAATTTTCCAGAGTAGATAAAAGACCGAAACCTTCAGATTCAGGGAGCAATCTTCAGATGATCCTCAGTAGGATAAACAAAAATAAATCCACACAAGTAACAATGAAGTGATCTGCAGAACAGTCAAAAGTCAAAGCCATCCAGAGATAACACCAAATAAAGCAATAATACTATTAATGTATGTTTTGCTTACCACAGGATATCTTAAGTAGTATATTTAATTAGTGAAGCATGCTTCTTAGCAATCAGAAGTGAGAAATAGTTATCCTGCATGTAAATAATGGCTGAATGAGAGTGGCTTCCTGGGATGTTATGTGGAAAAATATTGTAAGGCCATGTGTTGATTCAATAGAGAAAAAAACAAAATGCCGAAGTCTACTGATGATATCTAATATGGATACCAGGATGGAAGCTACAACATTTGTACTGTATATCTACTATTCTAATGCTAAAAAGGCACCAAAATAGAATGATCAAAATTATAAGGTTTCCAGAAAATCTTTTTTACACTAATGCCAGTTAATCTTCCTTATGAACCATTTTAATCATGCTATGATTCTGCTGAGCATGGTTGAGTTACTTTGGCCTAACTTCAAAAACTTTCCAGATACAGAAACGAACTTTCCCTCTTGCACCTTCTTTTCTATAAATTCTCAATCAAAGCTCATACCTTCAGCAAAGCCAACCTCAAACAAGCCATAAACCAGCTGTAGTAAGTTTTTCCTCGTATCTTTGTTCGTGATGTTTTCCTTGGGTGGAAAGACACAGACCACTAAATGTTTTACAGTGCCCACTAAACAAGTGCTAGCAGGGCACACGGTCACCGAGGCAGACTAAATTTACAGCTTCCCTGGCAGCAGTTAAGTGTGACCACTAGGCTTTAGTAACATGATATGAATGGAAATTATAAATGCATCTTCCACATCAGGTCCTTTACAAATTTCTTGCACTCCACTTCTCTTTCTCCTTTACCTGGGCTGAAATGCAGATGTGGTGCTGGTATGCTAGCTTTAACCATGCAGATGAGGGAAAAATAACTTAGAAAATGGCATAGCAATAACATGGGAGGAAGCTGGGGCTCTGTGCAACCTTGTGAATCAGAGATACATAGATGACCTGCCTACCTCTCTCCGTTACATGAGAAAGAAAAAGAGGGGAAAACCATCCAAACTACCAGACTCTCAGAGCCCTTGTAATTTGGGGGGGTCTCTGTTAACTACAGTTTAGCCTACACCCTGATTCAAATCACCTTCTCTTTCTTAAAGATTCACTATACAGCTTTCATTGATCTCTTCCATTTCACAAATGCTACAAGATTTGTAAGGTATGCCACAAAATTTGGTAATTAATCATAAAAGGCCACGTGTGTTTTATGATGATTAGTTTTGTCCTCTCAAGAGTAGGGGCCTTCAGGGCCGGCTGAGTGGCTCAGTTGGTTAAGAGCTCGCTCAAGAGT